CCCCTGGGCCTCCCTTGTCCCCAGCCTCCCACCCTCTAAAATCGGAACAGCACCAAAATGCCTTTCTGAGGGACAAGGTCCTTGAGACCCTGTAACTCTGGGGAAAGGAAATCCCAGGCAAAATACCTCTAAAACCAAAATCAGTCAAAGGGAGAAATAAAGTTTAAAACCCGTTTATTGCTTACAAACTGTGGTCCTGGGCCGTTTTCTCTTTCCTGCTCTGGCAGAAGTGAGCCAGACCTCCCCCTCACCTCTCAGGTTCAGATAAGCCCTCGGTTGCCCAGGTAATTACTCACTGATATGGAGATGAGGTACTTCTCTCCATCTGCTGAGGAACGCCTGTTGATATGCAGGTGCACTAAAACCTGGCGAGATATTCTGGAAATATTACAATTTTATCCACAGACCCCAAGGTCCCCAAGCTTCCACTCTGTCCCCACGTGTTATCTTGGCTTTTCTCCATAGCCCAGGGGCCTTCATGTGTCATTAGTTCCTTACCATTCTGATAAACGTCATTAGTCCTTGAAAAAGCATGACTCCCATCTGAGGCCAGCACCCTATAACCTGAGGAGGAATACAAATGGGGACATTGGAGGCAGTGGCAGGAAGAGACACACACAGACAGATGTACAGACAAACACCGTGATGCTGGTTCCCAGGGATGTGCATACATGGACATAAACTCCCCAGTGCACACAGCACGCAGGCCTTTGCACACAGGCACAGGGAAGTTTTACAAGCCCAGGTGTTATACCAGAGAGCCCAGAGAACTGTATCATGGTAGCCATACTCAGTTGCTTACAGTCTCAGAGATTCACTCAACATCTATAACTGCGTTGCAGCGTCAGCAGCCTCAGCCTCCCACAAACCCAAAGGCCAGGCTTCCCAGACTCGGCGTGGGGGAGGGGAGGGGAGTGTGGAAGCAGAGGCTGCAGATCTGCGAGTTCCATTAGCCACAGGAGCATGTCTGGAGTCTGAAAGCACAGGGACACGGGCGCTGCAGAATGGTTCCTGACAGCGAGTTCACATTTCCCACTCCCTCCACTAGGAAGCTCCTCTCAGTCAATAAAGCCATTTAGGGATTAGAGGAGCTCCCTCAATAAAAGCTGCTTATTCAAAAGTTGCTTTCAGTTCGTTTGCATTTATTTCATGGATATTATAATGCAGGGAAGAGCTGCCTCCTCAGTCTCCCTTCACTGCCTCCTTTTTGAGTTTCTGGCCCCCACACTCCCTCTTCCTTTCATGTTCCTCTCCCCTGCCCCCACCAGTGGGCACAAGTATCTGTTTGAGCTGGGCCATGCTTTGCAGAGACCCAGGGACCTGATGGGGAGTAAGAGGTCATGAACACTGGCCATTGACTCATTGTCCCTGGAGCAGCAGCTCCAGGTACAGCTGGAAGGGGCCATAGCTGAAAGTTTTCCCAAAGGAGAGGAGAGGAAAGATTGCTGACGCCCTGGGGGAAACCTACTTCCTCCAGGGCAGGTGCAAACCTAATCTCCTAGGAAAAGATGGACCAATCTGTTTGCTTTTTGCAAGTGAGGGTGTGATATGGGTAGGTGAAGTCAGCCTCAATTTACAAGACTTCTGCTGGCAGCCATCTCCCATATATTCAGTTCAAAGAATATTTAATTCATACCTACGATGTGCCAGGCTTTATGCTAAGCAACTGGAATACAGTAGTGAATAAGACAGTGTGGTCCCTACCCTCACAGATTCTTGTCTAGTGGGGAAAACCCACCAAAAATGAGGAAACCAGCTGATGAATACATAATTACAAGTTATATAAGTTACAAAGCTACAAATTATAAAGTTACAAAGTTTTGAGATGGAAAGGGGAACCTACTTCAGATGGAGTAATCAGGGAAGGGTGGTGACAGGAACAGACCTGGAAGAGTAGGAGCCAGGGGAAGAGCATTTCAGGTTTCAGGAACTGCCAGTGCAAAGGCCCTGTGGCAGAAGTGTTGGAGAAACAGAAATCAATGAGGCAATGAGGGGAGGAGTGGTACCCGATGAGGTTGATGATGGTTAAGGTCTTGTGAGCCATGGTGAGGAATTGGTATTATCCTGAGGGAAGAGAGAAGTTCACGAAGAGGTTTAATCAGGGAAATAAGAGGCATGAGCTGATCTCCACTCAGCAGAAGGAATAATTAGAAGGGTCCTAGTGGATGCAGATAGACCAGCGAGGAGGCAATTGCAGTCATCCTAGTAAAAAGGGGCAGGAAGGGAGAGGCAAGACATTCAACTTTTTTAAAATGGGAGAATCAAAGTCCTCAAGGTACCTTCTAGGTACAAATCAAGATTTGTCCTTTTACCACCCCCGTGGGTTTTCCCACCCCAGCTCAGGGCAAAGCCATGGCTGGTGCCTCTATCACCACATCAGCCTACGGTGGAGGCACTGTTTTTGGAGACTCTCCAGGGAAAGTGCCCACCTGCTTCCTTTCGGCACACCCTGCAGGACTAGGAGAAAGTTGCCCTTCTGGGAGGAGGAGTCAGTTTCAGTGCCTTCTTGCCCAGTTAACCCAGATTCTGTCCACAGGGCTGTACTGTGTTGGGTCAGGCCTGGCTGAGTCAGGTGGACGCGGAACCACCCACTCCCACTCCTCAAGCCAGGGCCCCAGGGCCCCTAGAGCCTACTCCAGCTCCCCCACTGCCCCTCCCACCATCAGCTGGGACAGGAAGGCTGTCCGAATCAGGACTAGGGGAAGAGACACCGTTCAGAGCCTGAACTACCCGCCAGGGACGCAGGAATACGAGGCAAGGATCCTGAGATTGAACTTCACAGGTAGCACTCAGGATTGAAAACTGATTTACAGTCTGAAGGCAGGCAGGAGGGGGCAGGGGGAAGGCGGGAGCTCTGTGTACAGCGCAGCCTTGCTGGGCAGCGGTAATCATATATTACATTAAACTGTCCTTGCAGCACAGCGAAGGGCAGTGGGAATGAGACTCTGAATCACGCTTCCCTGGTGCTCCCCATAGCTCACCTCCCTGTGATGTGGCCCTGGAGCCCAGGGCTGACACTCTTGTGTACACACACACACACACACACACACACACACACACACACACACAGCCCAGGGGAACCAGTAAGACTGCAGACCCAGAAAGCAGGCAGATGAAATGTTGTCACCTCCAGCAGGTGACCCCGGGGCTGCTCATCCTACAGACCTCGTTGTTTATTGCCCCCCACACTTCCCACACTTCTGTCTCCCCTCCTCCCCTGGGGCTTGAATGCGGGCTGTGCCGTTTCAGGAGGACATCCGTGTCCACTCTGCATTCACTTGTTCCTGCAGCATCTCTCGTCTTTGTACTCTGGTCACTACCTTGGTTCCTTTGGGACCTTATCACTTCTGTCCTGGATTTTTGCAGCTGTCTCCTAACTCACCCTCACCCCCAATCCATCATCCTTCACTTTGTTGCCATGGTGATCTCCCTAAACATGCCTCTGACCATAATCTTTAGTTCATTTGTCCGGGAATTGGCATGAGTGGGGAGAGATGGTCAAAGGCTTCAGGTTCTTGAGGGCCCGCAGGGAAGAGTCTCTTCAGGCCCTTTGCAGGCTGGTGATTGCTGGCTCACCCCCCACCCTGAACTGTCAACCCGGGAGGAGCACTGGTACCCTTTCTTCCCTCCCTAGCCACGTCCGGGTCCTTAGACCAACTCTGCCTTTCCACCAATCCCCTTGCCTCTCCCTTCAGGCTCCCTTCAAGCGGCTAGCACTTTCTGGTTCCTTAGGGAGGTGTAAGTGCTTAGTAGTGGTGAGAAAAGCATCTGGGATCAGACAGATGGAGATTTGAATTCTGACCCGTGACCATGCACAAATTATTAAGTAGTGAACCGATTAAGATTATGGACTCTGCCTCCAAACTGCCTGAGTTTGAATCTTGGCTCTACCCGACTTTAGCCTGACTGGGGCAAGTTACTTAACCTCTTGGCAGTTTCCCTATTGTTAAAATAAAGATAATAATAGTACCTACCTCATAAGGTCATTGTGCAGATTAAATGAGTACAATGGTAATCCTCTGCTGTTACCATTTGACCCGGGAATTCCTCTCCTAGAGATTTACCTGAAGGAAACACGATCCCAGATTCAAAAACACATAAGCACCCCTATGTTTATCGCAGCACTATGTACAATAGCCAAGATATGGGAGCAACCTAAGTGTCCATCAGTAGATGAATGGATAAAGATGTGGTACATATACACTATGGAGTATTATTCAGCCATAAGAAAGAAACAAATCCTACCATTCGCAACAACATGGATGGAGCTGGAGGGTATTATGCTTAGTGAAATAAGCCAGGCAGAGAAAGACAAGTACCAAATGATTTCACTCATATGGAGTATAATGATGAAGCAAAACTGAAGGAACAAAACAGCAGCAGACTCACAGACTCCAAGAAGGGACTAGAGGTTACCAAAAGGGAGGGATGGGGGTATGGTGGGTGGGGAGGGAGGGAGAAGGGGATTGAGGGGCACTATTATTGGTATACATGGTGTGTGGGGGGTCACGTGGAAGACAGTGTAGCACAGAGAAGGCAAATAGTGACTCTGTGGCATCTTACTACACTGATGGGCAGTGACTTTAATGGGGTTTTGGGGAGACTTGATAATATGGGTGAATGTAGTAACCACAATGGTTTTCATGTGAAACCTTCAAACCTCGTAAGAGTGTACATCCATGATACCTTAATAATAATAGTAATAATAAATAATCTCCTGCTGTTATAACAGTGTTGGGAGTATGAGCTATTACTGTAATTTCACCTCTCTGAGCCTCAGTTTCCTTGTCTATAACAAATCTCCATAATACATCTCCCTGCCTCAAGGTTGTTGTGAAGATCAAATGACATATTCCTTTAGAAACTCTCAAAGTCTCTACAAATGTAAGCTATGATTTTTATTATCAGGTCCTCGCTCCCTGAAGTCCTCAGGGTTTGGGCAGGAGGGCCATATTACCTTTAACAACAAACCAGCTATCTTCATCCTCCTCCTCCACCAGCCTCAAGGCAGAAGACTGTGGAGTCCTGGAGCCAGGAGCAGCCTTGGAGGGCATCTGGTCCTCTTCCAGCCAGAGGAAGGGACATACAAGGCCATGTGGACAGGTGGGCATCTCTGACAGAGAGATGATTTCAAAGGAGGCTGCTAATTAATTAAGAATAGAGAGTTTATTCTCCTCATTGCAGAGGTTTCTGTGGATCCCAAAGCTTGTGCAATTTGGGGAAGCCCTCTTGAAGAAAAAGAATACAAAATTATAAACATAAAATCAAGATCAGTCTTTGGAAGGGGCCTGTGCAAATGAGAAGCGTGAAGCTTAAGCTTCATTGGCTTCATAGAAAATCCACCTCTGCCACCATGTCAGGTGGGCATTTGACAAGTACTTGTCAGCTGGTTGCTTATGACCCAGACAAACCACGTCACAGGCCGGGATCCTCAGAGGACTGGAGTGGGGTCACCCTCCACCCATTACACAGGCTGTGGCTCTTCCACTGCCTTCACCTCAGGCTAATTGCTCTTTTTCATTTTCAAGACCCACAAGCTATTTATTTTTGCTTCCAACTCATTTGCATGTGGTTTACGTGGCATTAGTATTCACATTCACACGTGGAACCCTCCCTCTGTCCCAGCTTAGCTGGATTCCTGGGACTTAGGTAACAAGTGAGATTTCAACTCTTCCTAGTATGAAGAGGGAAAGATACATTCAATTTGGGGGTAGATGGCAGAGGGGGGTGATGATGACATTTCTCTTGGAGTCAGTTTTTAAAGACTCTGGCCCTACTGAAATTGTCCTCCTCCACATATCGCCTGCCAACCTCACTCCTTCTCATTTTCTCTGTGATTATGAAGTTGGAAATGCACATATTCAAGGACACACATGCCTGTCCAAATGCTGGGCTTACTTTGGCTCAAATGTGTGGTCCCTGAAGTCCAGAGGCACATGGCATTAAGGTGCCTGCAGACAAGAGCACACCGAAGTTCTTCCTCGTACCACCCCCAGAGCGAGTCAGCTCCCTAGAGTACCCTCCCACTGTTTGGAAGCCCAGTTTATTCCTCTGACTGGTGGAAACAGATGACAGGTGGGAGTTGTGTATGTGCGTGTGTGTGTATACATGTGCATATATGCTGTACACACATATAAAAAGTATGCACCCACGTGTAAGACAGTGAATGCTCATGTGCACATTAGTACATCTATTAAGACAAGTGGTGAGACCAGAGGTGAGGATGTAGGAAGGCGGATGTCAGTCTAAGAAAACCACATTGGTGTTCTAAGTGACATTAGAGATGAAATTTGCTTCCCTAGACCTGCCCCTTAATGGGAAGGCCAAGAAAAGCTAGCACGGCCGGCCGGGAGAGGCCTTAGGGTAGGACTGGGCTTGGCGTCAGTGTCAGCAACAGCTCCAGCGGTGACGTCCCCCGCCCAGGTCCCTCCTCTGAGGTGGCGAGTCAGCCAGAGCCCAACCAACGCTGCATCTCATTTGTCTGTGCCATCTCCATGCTCTCCTGAGCCGCCATCTCCATGCTCTCCCGAGCCGATTCCCGCTTCCCGCTTCCCCACAGCCCAGCCCCTGCCCCCCATGTGCCCCAGAGGTCTCCGAACTGTCACAGCCCAGGGACTCAGCTCTCCTCTGAGCCTGTATCAGAGGAGGCTGGGATCCCTACTTCTGGGTGAGGCGATCAGAGGGAAGAGATGGAACACGAAAAGCAAAGAGAGAGACCCTCCTGTCTGCGTAGAGGCGGGTCTGGGAACAGAAGCTGAAAACTTGCAAAGCCAGCCTGTGCAGAAGGAGAGGAGGAGGAAGAGGCAGAGAACAGAGAGTGGGAAAGAGAGTCAGAAGAGAAGGGAAAATCAGGGGGCTGGGACTGGGAGAGAGAGACGGGGTGAGGTGACGCTGACGGCTGGTAGCATCTTGGAATCGCTACTCCGTTTTCCTGGCCCTCCAGTCGTATTTGGGTCCCTGGACTTAACGATGTAGGGATCATCTCAACACTTCGAACTACCTCCTGTGGGAGAGGTGCCCAGGGTCTACATCACCACCTACCCTGTGTTATCTCAGCTTCATTCCACCCTCCTTGTCAGAGATGGGGGGGCGGGGGCGCTAGAAATGGGGAGGGGGTGGAACAAAGAGGGAGAGGTACAAAGGGGGAGGCAGTGCTCCCTGGGGCAGCTCTGGTTTCTTTCTTGGGACCTGGGGTTTTTCCCAAGGCCTTGGCACCTGCCCAGCCATTGTTCCTTCTGGCCTGGCCCCTGCGCTCAGTGCAGCCTTAGCGTCATCCCCTGCCACTGACGGGAATAAGAACAGGGGCCCCTTTATCTGATGGAGAGCGACTCGGCTACCCAGTCTCTGTGACTCTAATGTCCCAACATGCGGTTTGTTCCCAGCGTAAGTGAGCCGTCACAAGGAAACAGAAGCCTTCCGGTCTATGTCTGAGTCAACAAGATGGCACCAAAGAGGTAAGGCTGGGCTTTCTTGAGACTGCAGAGAGCTTCTGATGGATGCCCTCTGGGGACTTCCCCCCGACAGCTTGCTGTGGCTGTGTCTCTGTGAACAAGAATGTCTGTTTCTCATCTCCACTTTCTAACTCCCGTCACAACAGTAATACTGGCATCAGTAATAACAGAACCTTTTACTGAGTACCTAATATAAGCTGGAGGCCTTGGTAAGTGTCTTATGTACATTATTTCCTTCAGTCCTGCAACAACACTGTGGGATAATCACCCCTTTGGAAAGCAAAGGGGGAAACGGGGTTCCAGAGGTCGTCTAGCTTTCACAGCTTGAGGTGCAGCTGAAATTTGAGCCCAGAGCCGCCTGATTTTCCCCTGCCTCAGCGATACAGCCTCAGGTTGGGTTTTGAGTTGCAATCCTAAGCTTTCAACCCCAGGGAGCACTGACTGCCTCCCCTCAGCCTCAGAAGCCCCTGGTTGCCCAGATGCCCTCCTGCTGGCCCAGGTCAGGTTTGGAATTTCCTCTGTGGCCCTTGGGGGTGAAGCGGTGATGAATGAACAGTCAGGCCCTCTGCTCCCACTCCCCAGGGAGGAGGCAGGGTGAGAGTGGCTGTCATTTCACACCAGGAACAAAAACATGAGGTTGTTGGACAGGTTTAGGGTCACATGGTACTTAGGGCCCTTGGCTGTCCAGTCCCACAAAAGGGATAGAAGAATGTGGCAAACTACTAGGTCCTCAGGGGAGCTGGGGATGCGGGTGGAGGTGGGACAAGAAACTCCTTTTCCCGCCACAGCCTGTGTCCCCCGCAGGTACTGGTGCTGCTGTTTTCGGACAGGACAGTCAGTCACAACTTCTAATGCTGCTTGAGAGGCAGCCCCGCTTGCATTCCTAGACCCTGTGT